TACGAATGTAAAAAAGTTGTTACCGACCTGTCGATCGAGTTCTATCGACCTCTACAATTCCTATCGTAGGTCGTCGTAAGTCGGCTCGAATAGAGGCTTATTCGCGTTATCCTAGATCGTCTAATTATTAGGATTTGGTGCCTAGAACCTAGCGTAGAGCGGAACGTAAGACTCCTCGAGGGTAAATCCTAATTCTATATACGACTTAATCTTATCCCGTAGATATAGGTAGGCCTTAAGGTAAACATAATTGAGATCTAGATTAAGCTCGTTCGATAGTATAGGTAGAACAAAGCCCTCTTCTATAAGACGGTCCTCGTACTATTCTATAGTATCTAGCGGAAGATACTCTTCTAAATCGAATCCGGAAAGATCTCGTTCTATTAGCTCTAGTAACTCTAGGGGTACTTTAACTATAAACTGTATAGCACCCTTACTATATAGGTATCGCTAGTTTAGGTTAGGTATACCGGCTACGATATGCTCTCCTTGCTGCTTTCGAATACGGTAGTAGTTCTAGTAGTTCGCAAATCCGTATACTACAGCCTTTATAATAGGCATGTATATAAAGAGCATAGCGATCCGGTCGTACTTGAAATCCTTAAGGTATGTACCTTGAAGGTACAAGTTGTAGAAGTATCTTCGCTATCTTCTAGTCGCACGTATTAGCTAACGCTAGAATGTCTCGATACGCTAGTTTATACGACTGGTCCTATACTGGAATATGTCGCTAAACGTAAGAACGACGCCGTTCTACGGGTCTTCGTAAAGAGCACGCCGAAGTGTTATATACGTATCGGCTATTATAACGGTCTCTGCACTACGGTTACTCTATAGAATAAGTAGCATGCCTTAATATTGCTTTATAAAGGCTATATACTGTGCTATTATAGAAACCGCGGTGCGAGCGGATATTCTAATATAGATCTATATAACCCGCCTAGACTATATATCTACGGCGGCATAAATCACGAAGCAGAAGTATTCGAATTTGTAGTAGGCGTCTATAGAGATAGCGTAGTTAGGGCCCGGATTCGTCTAGCTAGTCTAGTTGCGTGCCGTACTGTGTCTTCTTCGCTTAACGGTAGCAGGATTGAGATGTAATATAGCTTGCTATAAACGTTCGCGGCTTGAGATGCTATACTTTATATAAAGGACGTCGTACAATACTGCTCTACCGAAGTTATTATAGTCTCCGAGTAGTATCTCTTTCTATACAATAGCAGCAATGTTAAGGAGATACTGCCTCTAGAGGGGCCGAGCGACCTAGCGGTAGAGACCTAGTATAATTAATATATAAAGGTAGAGTAGGGAGAATACGTTATACTAAGTTCGTTTCGGATGCTTCGATAGCGTATAAGGCCGATATCGATACCCTTATACTTAAAGTACTCTATAGCCTACTTATCTAAGATACGATACTTATAAAAGAACGTATATACTAGGAGCTTTAGCTAATCCTCTAAATATCGACGATAGCTCGGCGCTCGACTAAGCGCGGAAATCTACTATTGCTTTAATCGTTCCTTAAATTGTATACGGCTAATTAAGTATCTAGTATTATATAGCTCCGTACGAATATCCTCTTGCTTCTTACTAGCTAAGACTTGTCTACGTATCTAATCTTTAAAATAATCGAAGTTAACTCGTAGATAAGGTATAGTAAACGTTCTAATCCTCGACCGGATTATACGGGGGGCTGAAAGTTGCTAAGAGTTGCTAAGAGTTGCTAAGAGTTGCTAAAAGTTGCTAAAAGATAGCTAGAATAGCTGTTCCGGCTATAAGGTAGCAGACCTGCTACTAATCCGGGGTTTCGTTAGTTACGCTAACTTACTAGTCGGCGTAATCGTAGCCCTCGGCGGAGTATATAACGGAGCCTCGGATACTATACCTACTATAGCACTGCCGCTAGGGGTGCTAGAAGTTAACGGGCCTAGCTGTTCCCGTAAGACCTACTGCCGCCCGCCGGGGGTACTAAAAGTTGCCGAAAGTTGCTAAAAGTTGCTAATAAAGGTTCTAAGTATAAGGCCTACCGCCGGGCGCTAAAAGTTGCTAGAGTTTAATAATAAAGGTTCTATATATAAGACCTGCCGCTAGGCGCTAAAAGTTGCTAGAGTTTAATAATAAAGGTTCTATATATAAGACCTGCCGCCGGGCGCTAAAAGTTGCTAAAAGTTAATAGTAAAGGTCAAAGTTCCTAGTATAAGAGCTGCCGCGGCCCGCGGGTATACTAAAAGTTGCTAGGGGCTGCTAACAAAAGGCCTAAGCATAAGGCCTACGGCCGGGGTGCTAAAAGTTAACTAGATAAGCTATTCCTACTAGCAAGACCTACTACGGCCGGGAGTGCTAAGGGTTGCTAGAACCCTAGGGGTACTAGAAATTGACTAGACTAGCTGTTCCTACGAGACCTACGGCCGGCGGCCGTAGGGGCATATCTCTATATTCGGCGTCGTCTTGTATTTTAGTACGTTGCTCGTATCGATGTCTTATACTTTCTAGGATATCGGGAGAGTATACTAACCTGTTTTTATCGCTCGCTACGGGCAACGGCTATAGGAAAAGAGAACTAGGCCAATTAGTTTGTTGTCGTGTATAATAGTGTTGCACTATTAAGCGGCGAATAATCTAGGTAAGTAGCTAGCTTATACGAGAAAAAGGTAAAGGCTATATCGTTGTTATAGGGACGATTCTATTAATAGCCTTCCGATACGTAGAAGTTGTTACTACGTAAAGATTGGCAGCGTAGCTTAGCAGGTATTATCCGCGCGCCTAATATTGTTAAGCCCCGCTAAGACCCGGGATTCCGTAGATTATAATACCGACTTTACGACTTTCAAACGATACGACAGCACTCTAATAATACATAGTACGCTAGCAACGTATATAGCACGAGATACGTCGAATAAGCGCATTCCTAGTAAAATCGCGCTAGCAAAGATATCTAGCACGACAGCGACGACCGTATCGGCTTTAAGAACCTATCTCCGACTAAGACGATACCGTATTTCGAAGAAGGCCGACACTACTATACTATGCCTATTATACCGTAGCTACCGGCACTATAGCATATATTCGGCGCTTAGGGACCTAGGAAGGACCTAAAGGACTAGGATTTAAAGGATAATAACAAGAGCTATAGACTAGGCGTTCGAATAGCAGACCTAGTAGGATAATAAAAGTTAGTAAAAGTTGCTACTAGGTAGCTAAGAAACAGAACAGACGATTTGCATACCGATCTTAGTACTAGAAGAACGGAGCCGACGATACGATAACCGAACTCCCTCCCCTATCCGCAATTTATTAGCTTAATTTATATATCTTAGGAACTTTCGTTAACTTTTACTAACTTCTACTATCCGTCGGTAAACCGAGGAGGCTATATAGTACGTAGTAGCTAAGGAGCGGCATTCGAACTTTCGCTAACTCCGGGCTTTTTATAATAGCCTTTATATACCTTACTTGCATAATGCTAGGCTTTTTATAATAACCTTTACGTACTTCACTTCTATAATACTAGGCTTTTTACAATATAACTTTACGCTGCTAGGGATAATATACTTTACGATATACTCTTCCTCTTCTTTACTTCCTTCTCCTTTAACTAGGCATCGTATATACCCTCTTACCCTCTTCTATAATATTGCCTTAAATATAAGGACTACGTAAGCGGTACTAAAGGCAGTATACGCGGTAGTAAGTTAAGCTCTAAATTAATCGAATTCGATTGTATATTAACTAGGTATTTTAGCCGTCTCGCCCTCGCCGCGCCGCGTACTCGTCTAGTAGAACGAGTACGACGTCCTCGTCTTAGTAGCGGCGATTCTATACGGTTAGACGCGAAATAGCGCTAGCATTCGGTATAGACTCGCACTCTAGACTCGAATTACGTAAGAAATGCTAATTCTCGCTTAGTCCGGCCCTACTACTCCCTACTATGCCGCCGCCGCCGCCGCCGCCGACGATAACGATAAGAATAACGATAAGGATAACGATAACGATAACAATAAGAGATTAGGTAGTTAGGGTATTAGTCTTAGTCGCTATTGTTTAGTTAGTCTTACGCTTGCTCGATAGTACGCAATTACGCGTGTCCGCTAGCGCCGCTCTGCTTTTTTAAATATATTATTAATTAATATACTGCTATTCGCTAGCCTCGCTTTAGTATAAGTACAATAACTTATCCTTTGTGTTTCTTCCTATTTCTTCTCTTTTACGGTTGTTGCAACATTGCTCGCGATGCTGTCTATCCTAATATATATATAAGGTAAGGTGTTTAACAATATAGATATATACTATCCTACGAACGATACGGAATAAACGACTCTTTAGATTAATAGGTAACGCGGATAAAGGCGTATAAGGCAGCGTTATACGATATAAGTATTGTCCGAATACTAGTATAAGCCTAAATATTGCTAAACTTATATTTAATCTTTTAATGTTTTAATATTTAAATAAGAATACTTAAAACGTTAACAATCTATATTAGCAGCTATAACTATCCGTTTGCGCCTATATTACGCTTAGAATTACCCTAATATCTAATAGAATCTAGATTTCTGCCTATAGGGCGATCGACTATTGCCGACTTTACTATCGCTATAATAATAGACCGATCTAAACGGCTTGGTATAGCTTTCTACCCCCTACTATCTAAATATTCTACTATATTGCTACTACTACTACCTTAGCATCTTTGCCGCTTAAAATAATTTATTCGAGAGCGACGACTAAGTACTCCTATCGATATTTGCTCGAGATAGTATATATAAAGGGCACTACTATAAGTTAAACAAACTAACCAATTCTCAGGATTCCCGAAATTCCTAAAATTAGCCTGAAGCCGACCTTCTTCAACTTCGGCGCACCAGGGGGGTAGTGCATTTCTGCTTTTCTGCTTCCGACTTTCGCGTCAACAGCGCGTCTCCTTCTGACCGCTCCGCTCCGCTCCGCTCCACTGCAGACCCCAACACGGCGCGGCATAATGTGCGCATTGGAGGATGGCACACGCACACGCACACGCCGCGAGACTCGACCAGCTCGCGCAGAGTCTCGTCACCGCTGTCACCGGCCGAACACCTGACCAGCCATCCTTCAAGCCGCTCCAAGACCACACCTTGCGAGCGCTCAAAGACCAAAGCCATGCGCGCACCAATCAATTTGCCGTCAAAGCCCGTCTTGACGGATTGACCGAGAAGCTGGACGTCTTGGGCCGAGACGACTTGGCTGAGGCACTGCAGAGTCGACTAGAAGAACTGCCCGCCAAGTTGAGATGCATGCCAGAGCTTCTTGCTCTTCTCCTCGACCTCTCCAACCGGCCCGCGGAGAAGACTTCGCTTGCGGATGTTGAACATCTGAACACGACCGCTTCCGCTTCCGCTTCCGCTTCCGCTTCCGCTTCACCAGATGCTCATTTGACTTGGCAAGAAATCATTGCCGACCATCCGCTGGACGATGCTGGTCTTTGGGACGACGTCGAGGCCGGCTATCATTCCAGTGGCGATGAAATAGGGAGTGGGCCCGACGACGACGACGACACCCAGCGCACCGTTTCCACAACTGCGACCTCAGTCGGCAGTGAGCATCCCGGCGCTCTTGCTCGTCTGCACCTCGCGCAACCGGACAGTGCATCTCTTGCCCATATTCAAGCTGCACGAGATACCTGGCATACTCAGAGCTCGCCATCAACAACAAGCAGACGCCTTTCCGAGCTGCAATTGCTTCGTGAGACTCTTACAATGCTGCGAGGATACCCAACCGATCTCTTCGTCGTTGATGCTGGTACGGGCCGAGTGAATTTGCCCAGCAAGATTCGCATGGAGAGCACAAGCGAAGAGAGCACAATGGACATTTTGCTTCGCTGCACGAAGTTGGGCTCAAGCTTGAACTTCCTCCGCAAATGGACGAAAAGCCTGCAACCTGCCATACATATACGAACCATGCAGGCCTCTACCGGCAAACTGCTACGATCACTCTCGTCCCATTTGGGCGAGGTGGAACAGCGATACGTCACTCCACAGATAGCCACAGTTGTCAGTATTGCTGATGTGGCCGTATTGGCCGAACCTGCAGCTCGTGGTCTCGCGCACCTTGCTTCCATCATTCAAGTCTTCTCTTTGTCAGATGGCCGCACCAGTCAACTCAACTTGCTCGACTCGCTCTACGATCAAGCATGCTCTGCTCAGCTCTCAGAGGACACAGCGCTCTTCGAAGTGCTCGCCACCGTCTTTCTCGATGGCCTCGAGACATATCTCCGCTCAATCGCGACATGGGTCATGACAGGTACACTCTCCACGTCCGCCCAAGGCATACCACTTGTCAAGGACGCAAAGGCGCATTGTGAGCCTGCAGAACTATGGCACAATCGACATTTGATGAATGTCACCCGTGACGGATCGCCATTTGCCCCAAGATGTGTCCACTTTGCCGCGAACCAGATCTTCTCTTCGGGCAAGGCTCGTTCATTTCTCCGCTGCCTCGATCAAACGGTCGGTGATGGGCTTCAGGCATTTGACCTGAGGAACTCTATGCCAACCTTCGATGGAATCATTCCCAAGTTACGATCTGGCTCACTTAGATCCTTCTCGCAATGCCTAGACGCGTCACTACAATCCTGGCTCGAAACAATCAGTACGGACTGCACGCCACTTCTGCGATCCAAGCTGTGGGACGAGCATGGTCTAGCGCAGATGATCTCTGCCATTCCCTATGTCTTCTTCTCTAAAGACGGCACGGCTTTCGAGGCGTTCGCTGATACTCTGGTCGAACGTATTACAACCAATGAGCAACAGAGGCCTTGGGGTGACGAATTCCTATTGAGCGAGGTCGCACAGACTGCTTTCAGCAACGTGGCGCAAGTCAACGATCAATGCATACAGATCCGCATCGCCAACGATCTGGCAGTATCATCTAGAGTCGCTCTCATCCGCAAACTTGCAGCTGTCGAGCTGGAGTACACATTTGCTTGGCCTCTGCAAAATATCACAAGGTGTCGTACGTCAGTCCCACACAGCCGAGCATTTGCGTTCTTACTGCAAATATACCTTGCAAGGAGCTTGCTCGGTAGGAGCTTTCTCGGCCTGCGATCAATACCACGATCCTCGAATCTCATTCCTCTACGGCAAAGACTCATCAACTTTACTGGCATCTTGTCGTCTTACGTTATGACTACTGCACATAGCTTACACGAAAGGGCACAGCAAAGTTTGGAGGCGGCTCTCGACATCGATGCAATGGTAGGCGTCTGGGCTGACTACACAAGGAGAATGGAAACCAGTCTACTATTGTCAGCGAAGCTGGAACCTGTACGAGATGCTATTACAGGCATGTTGGAGTTGAGTGAGCTTCTTGTTAAGACCACCAATCCTGATAGTATTCTCACATTGCAAGACCAATTCGAGAAAAGTCTGAAGTTCCTGATTGCTGGCATTCGTGGAGTCAGTCGTGCAGGAGGAGATTCGGCACTGGAGACACTTGCGGAGAGACTGGAGTGGAGTGTGGGCGACAACAAACAAGATCTTGCTTAGCCCAAGTCTTAGCGGGCCTGATTCTCGAAGCGGCAGCTCCATGCGATTCAGGTTTTCTGGACTCGTTATCTTTATCCATCAGATCGCGTGCCTCCGGACTCGCGTGTGAGGTAATGCCGCTGCAACTGTACCAACCAGCCCTCCAGCTCTCACAAAAAAGTCTGCTATCGAGGGACCGCGCGTCAGATACCAAGCATGACAGCCACCCGCTCAGTATGATCCCTATTAGAACTTCAAGAGAGCGAACAGCTTTGAGACTCCGCCCATATGCTACACCCAAAGAAAACGTACCGCATGTTCACTTGCTAGGGTCGAGGCATCCGCACTGCACGGGCACGAAGTGCGTGGTATGTCACTTGTAAGCCTTACAAGGAGAACTGGTCTTCACGACATGCAACCTAGCAGCGTTGAATGTTCTATAGGACAGGCGAAAGCAACATGCAATACAACGTGGATTTCGAGGCATGCCTTTTCAATGCCGTACATACCAAAGTCCGGAAAGTAGCATACTGAAAGATGCACCAAATCCAGACATTCATCTGGTGCTTGCTGCTGCAGAGGCTTTAGAGAAGGCGTACTGCCTCGCGCCTTTTATCTGTGAAGGCGGGGGCGCCATGTGGGATTCCGATTGACCATGCTTGCTACGAATCGGCGGTCCTCAATCCGAATCGCAACCCAGGAATCGACAAGCGTAGCATGGAGGGATATTATTCTAGGCAATGCTTTGGCATCGACAAAGCGATATGGATCCCAGGCGACAGGGGTCGGGATATTACAGACGACCACATCGATCCCCTAGCACGATTCAATGCGCCAGGGACTGTCCTCGTCAGCAGACCCTTCGGTCAACATTCCGAAGACCGCTGATCATATGATACGTTGAAAGCTGTGCTCGCCAAGGAGACTGGTGCCAGAGATCGAGCTTTCAAGACAATCGATATCCAAGAAGCAGATCCAGCAGAAGTTCTCGGCAAGGACTATGCGCCAGAGACAGGCCCTAGCGTTGCCTCCCTCAACTTCCATATCGTCAACGGAGGAGTCATTGTATCTGCTTTCGGCGATCCTGAAAGTGACGCCAATGCCGCCAAGATCATCGGCGAGAATTTTTCTGGCAGGGAAATCGTACAAATTCCAATCCATCAGCTGGCTGCTCAAGGTGGTGGCATACACAGCTCGACACAACAGATTCCAGCATAGGTGCCACTCTTGTCTCACCTGCCAGGTAGCACGTCTCTTCTCCAGTCGCACGATCAGACTGGAGCCGGTGGCCTGGTCAGCGAAGATCCTTGACACGGCGCTTGGCGGCGATATGGTGAATAATTCGCCGCTCTCCACCATGGTACTGATTGCAGATATGGTCAGCACCAAATAATCCGCCGACACCGACTCTACTATCGTGAGGATACAGAGCGTCATGGCATTGTGCTCGAATTCCGCTTCTAAGGTTCTTCCAGCTCCACCGCGAAGGTTGAACTGTGTCGTGCTCTTCAAACTCTGACTCCAGCCCACTGCAAACCGCAGAAAGACGCAGGGATGCAGCACAGCCCCCTCCATTTACTCCGTTGATGGTTCAAGGCCCATGTTCGTCATGCTACACGTTCGGATCTCTGTCCGTCGAATCATTGTATACACCACTTCTGAAGGACCCGGGCCGCAGGGCCGCGGATGTTTACTTCCGCGAGGCTGGGTGAACTGTTGCGTAAGCTTCCAAGTTGCTGGATCGTCGCTATCATGGAGCTGTTTGTACCCGTCGTAGCTCTGCAATATAATTGTACAGCATATCGAATCTATCATCCTCACCCTTCATGTTGCTCTTCATCACTCAGAGCTCAACCAGCTCGTTTGTTTCTGCTTCACTTGCGCTATTGAAAACTTCATTTCACGAGAGCTCCACGTTCCTCTGCCCAGCCGCCCCCTCGTGCACAAGTTTTAAGGTATTTTCTCAATCTTATTGACGGTGCAGAAAGCAGAAATCCACGGAACCAGATAGGAAGGAGAAATCCCAGACGCCATGGCCGGAAGTATCATGATGTGAGTCTCAGCCTGATACGAAGGCATGTCGTACCCGACCTGACTAGTGCACATCACAGCTACATGTACATACTCCTGACTGTGAATTCCTGCAACCGGCGTACGATGAAGAGAAACATGTCAAACCCCTAACAAAAGAGAAAAGGCGATCAACCTGCTAGTCAAATCCTTCTTGAGAAAGCGATTGCGCTGGCTGACATTTTCTTGAAATGGGATTTGACTGGCGGGCTGATCGCCTTTTCTCTTCTCTTGGGATTTTGGGTTCTTTCTCTTCGGCGCTCTCTTGACTAAATGAATTAGGCAGAATCTGTGGGTTGGTCTGCGAGAGGCTAAGTTTTTCACCTTCAAGGGGTCTTCTCGGAAATATGGCAACGGCGAGTTCTGCTCACAGCTACGGACAGGGTACGCAAATCAACCAACAGTTCACCATGGTCTCCGACGTCCTTCCTCCCGCGACGCTGATTCCACAGATGCCATGCTTTCACACAGCTCCAAGTCATGCCAAGGATCAACACCGCGGCCCGCCAAGACAGCTTGTAAGCATCCCGCTAGAATTGAACCTCCTAACATGACAGCCGCTGTTCATTCCCAGCTGTCAGTATCGCCACCCCATTCTGACAGTAGCAAGCCATTTTCTCGGTGAAAGCGTTCTTCGGTACGGGGTCTCTAGAGCGTTTGAAAATCTTGTGGACTTCGTCGATCGGTACCTTAGACATGATCGCTGAGATACCGAGCCATAAGAAGTGCGCCCAGAGGAAAACGATGAATATGCCGGCACATTCGATGACTACGAGCAGATTGTTGGTGGATCTTGCCGTAGCGTGTTGCAGGGACTTGTGTCTGATTCATGACGCTTGGCTTGGCGCTTGCGAGGAGCGTTGATGTTGTGGCCTCCGTATTGTATCAAGATGGAGAATGGCACGTCTGAAGGCAGGAAGCAGAACCTTCTTGTGGTAACTATTTTGATGGCCGTAGTGTATACTCTCTGCACGAGACGGCCGGAATGATGGGAGGGTCGGGTAGAAGCGGCAAAGCAAGCTGTGAGTTTGGTAGCTTTGAGGATATAAGCATGATCCCCAAAGCTGGAACGAGCGTTGTGCTGGAATTGGGTTTGGATGGTACCTGCTTGCCTGTTTCTTTGAGAATCAGTAGACAAATTGGTGGTCAGCCCATTGTGGGAATCGGCAGCGGCATCTTCATCATTCCTGCTGGGAGGGTCATTCAGCTGCTTTGGTGCAATTCCCAATTTGCGGAATGGCGAGGGCGGCGAACGAGGACAATGGGATCAAAAAACCGTGTTGGGGCTGGAAATGCTGAGATGGCTTGAGCATGCCTCTGGACGCCGACTCGCAGAGATGAGATGGTCAAGCTGGCAAAGCGAATTCGCGTTGGGATGTATGGGCGATAACAGTGCGCTAGAAGGCTAGTGCCTGAACTTGGCAAAGCGCTTTGATGATGGGATTTCTGGTATGCATGAGCGCACACCACGTCACTCACTGCGCAAGATGCTTAAGAAGGAGGCGCGCTCAGAAGGTCATGCTGTCATCGATATGGCCAAGATGTGGAGGTGAGAGACAGTCGGGAGTCATGTGAGGTTGCATTATGCTGATATCCATGTCCACTCGCAGTGCCCTGATGCAGAAGACGAACGGGCATGAAAGATGGTGTCAATCGTGCCAAGCCTACGCACTGGGTGAGGCTAATGATTCTCCATGGACTTCACCGGCAGCTGTGCGCTCAGACCGAGCATGCTTAGATAACTCTTGGAGCACAGGTCGCCCATCTTCTCGAGCCGATCTTCTGCCGTTGCCTGCTGCAGCTCGCCGGCGACAGCGAGGTCTCTTCGAGACAGTCAAGGCGCTCTGGAGCTGGCTTTTCTCCTGTCGATCAGGAATAACAAGAGGTGGATTTTAGCAGATCACAGGCATGCTCAATCCCAGTCATCATCATCATCATCATCATCATCATCGTCATATTCAGTTCCAGCCTCTTCTTTCTGCTTTCGTGCTCGCGCTCTGTCATCCTCGTCGGTCATCTTTGCTCTGGTCAGCACGCCACTTGCAAGCAATCGCGCTTCCAACTCGCTGGCGGTGAAAGAGTCCGGCGTGCATGCAATGCCTTCAAAGCCGATGATTCTGTCGGCACTCACACCATCCTTGAAGGCAATGACACAAGGCAGCACTTTGACGCCCAGCTTGACCACCAAGAAAGGAGCGTTGTCGACGTTGATGCTGACGAATCTGGTGTCAAAGTGCTTCGCAGCCAAGACGGTAAGCTTGTCGTGCATGATGCGGCAGCGACGGAAGTCGGGCTTCATGAAGTGCACGACACACAGGCTTGCGGTCGTGGTGATGTCCATCAGTTGCTTTTCGTCCTTGATCTCGGCGCAGCTGCCAGTGCCGTGAGAGCCATCCTTCATGAGCTTGGCGCGCGTGACTTCGGCATGAAGCTGTGCAAGTCGCTGCTCGCGAAAGGCGGAAAGCGCAGCATCTTCGTCGTCTTCCAGTTCTGCGATGAGTGCGTCCTCATCGTCGCATTCCGGGCCAGGCCTCTGCCTGTCCAGCACTTTGGCCACATGCGCGTCGAGCGTCGCCATTTTGAGACTTGTGAAGGTATTCGACACGGTGCAGGTGGGTGCGAGACTTCCACCTTGGCTGCGCGTCTCCCATCATTTGACCCCTGTCTGCAGATTGGCTTTTTCCAGATCGCCCGAGAGCGAGAGAGGCGCCTGCGACTAGAATACTGCTCGCATTGCGCTTCTCACCACCATCCCCCTTTATCGCATCGCATCGCGTCGAATCCCGCCAGCTGTACAACTGCCAACGATAGAATACATTCACGACGACGTCCTTCCTTGGCGTTCAGCGGTCCTTGCGCACCGGTCGCTGGCAACAGCCTCACTCCCCCCTTACCTCGCCCAGCACCGAGCGCTCGCCGAGTCTTGAGCCGCAGACGCCGTCGCACGCGCAAGCTGTCTCCATGGCCGATGACAAGAAGAGGCATTTCACCATACACCTTGAAGAGAGACAGCCCAGCGGTCAATTCGACGCAGCGCCGCGTCCCTCGCCGCCCAGCATGCCTTCCACTCCTTCGGGCATAAATCTCAACAACCCCGTGCTGTCCATCTTCGCATACTGTGCCAGCAGTATATTGATGACAGTATCGAATAAGTACTGCGTCAATGGCACCGGGTGGAATTTGAGCTTCTTCCTGTTGGCCGTACAGGTAAGCGTGGGCCTGGACGTCGGCTTGGACAGAAACACGCACTGCAAAAGATGTCAAAGGCTAATTCGATACATCAGGCTCTCGTCTGTATAGCTGCCATCTCGACATGCAAAGCCTTTGGCATAATCACATATCGAGATTTCAACACCGACGAGGCGCGGAAATGGTTCCCAGTCTCACTCCTCCTGATTGGCATGATCTACACCTCCATCAAGGCTCTTCAATTCCTCAGCATTCCCGTCTATACCATCTTCAAGAACTTGACCATCATCTTGATTGCATATGGCGAGGTCCTGTGGTTTGGAGGATCGGTCGGCGGCATGGCCTTGCTCAGTTTCGGACTCATGGTACTCAGCAGTATCATCGCCGCCTGGGCCGACATTTCGCACGCATTGGCTTCATACAGCGGTGATGCAGTGACAGGAGAGGCGGCTGAGAAGATCTCGACGTTGAACGCGGGCTACATTTGGATGGCCTTGAATTGCTTGAGCTCGGCAGGCTATGTCTTGGGCATGCGTAAGCGCATCAAGCTTACCAACTTCAAGGACTTCGACAGTGAGTGTGAAGAAAGTCTGTGAGACCTCGAACATACTGACTCTGCCTAGCCATGTTCTACAACAACCTCCTCTCCATCCCCATTCTCCTCATCTGCACCCTCCTCCTCGAAGATTGGTCATCGGCAAATATCGCTATCAACTTCCCGCCCGGCCGACAGCAGTTGATGATCGCTGCCATGATCTTTACTGGACTCAGCAGCATCTTCATCTCCTATACCTCCGCCTGGTGTGTGCGTGTCACATCGTCAACGACATACTCAATGGTCGGCGCACTGAATAAGCTCCCCATCGCCATTTCCGGCCTCGTCTTCTTCGATGCCCCCGTAACACTGGCCTCCGTATCCGCCATCTTCGTTGGATTTGTATCAGGTGTCGTATATGCATTAGCAAAAGTCTGGCAAAAAAAGGATGACAAAAACGTGCTCCCTGTGAGTGCAAGTTCGCAAAGCATGAAGGACAGCTTGAAGTGATGAGATATGGTTTGCTGCATACGGCTCGTGGTGATAGCAGGCGTCAAATGGAGGGCTGTAAAATTACAAGCATGGAATGGAACATGCACAAAAACGCAAGAGAGGCACAATTTGGCGGCGTTCGAATCATAGAGGGATGAAGCGGATCGGATACAGGAACGACGCCTACGCAGGCAGTAGGCATATGTTTGGATCATTCACGCCCACCAACCATATCTTCATTGTGTACTACTTCTAGTATCATTTTGTGCAGTTGAATGGAAAGCTTGAAACATTCAGTCGACTTTCCGACAGTCTTGGCACGAACATGCACTTCCCCAGCAGACTTATCTTTTAGCAAAGAGGATTTGTGCCGATACGCGACGAGCAAGCTTTGCAATGTTCTGTGGATGTACGCCTTGCAGCGCCATCTCGAGAGCGCTGGCCGCTCCATCTCCGTCTGCGCCATGGATCCTGGCCTGATGCCTGGAACTGTATTATCTAGGCAGAGACAAGGCAGAGGTGGAACGCTACAAGCAGCTGTCCTGATCTTTACTCGAGCAGCCATTCCATTTACCATCTCTCGGCCTCCTGCAAGCTTTGCCGAATCTAGACTACACGCTGTGGCACAAGGTGGGCAGCCTGCAGCTGTGCCAACGGAACGGGCCTCCGCTTGTAATGCTTTGATGCCCCTGGCGTCTACTTGCAACTCAGTGTCTCGGCAAGAATGTGTTGATGAAAGCGCAGCGCTCGTGGAGTCTCATGCAAGAATCGGGCAAGATCGACTTTGATTGCCTCAACGTGGAGCTCTGAACGGACTCCAGCTTGTCGACCCCTGCTGCAAGGCGACGCTCTCTCTATCGTCGAACTCAAGCCGCGCTGCAGAATGAGTTCCCTTTCCACGACTTGCTATCGTCTGGTAATACGGTCTGTGGGAAAAAGGCTTGTGCTGTGGCACGGGAATTCTCCGCCGCGCAGTGTTTACAGACGCTCAGATTCCAACGCCTCTCGCCACTCGCCTATCTGTAACGCTGCAAAGGCCGTGTGAAACAGCCCCGGCAGCTGTCAGTCTGATCCAGCATGCTGTACAGGCCCTACGGTAGTCACCCATCCCGCTGGAAGTCCTTGGCAGGAACCGGCCAATCGTCATGCTTATCGCTATGGCGGCACACGGCTTCAATTCGGTGTCTTGCCGTTTTTGGTATGCTCAACCCACTGGAGAAGCCTGTACTACACGCAACACACTAGATTCCCAACGAGCGTTTCCCAGTGCTTCCAACCATCGCAGTCAAGGGAGTCGTACAAATGGCAAAGGCGTTCGCAGTCTGCCGCAGATCACATCCAAAGGCCAATTCCAACAACTTTGAACGTCCAGCCTACCATAACTCGGTTGACCTCGCACGCCTGCAGGTCCAAATCGCAGAAGCGTTTGATATCTTCGGGAGCTTGCAGCAGGGCTGAAACAACAAAATTCATATATCCTGCAGGAGGTTGAACAATTTCAACAAAACTTCGCTCGCCTTCCCAATCTTCCCCCTCAAACGTCTCACACGCCCACACTGCTTAGGACACGGGAAAACCTGACCTTTCTGAAGTCAAGATAAGAACTGCAAGGCATATGCAGGATACGAACGCCACTGCCGCAACGCCGACAGCTCCGATGGAACTAGACAGAAAGCTATCGCTGCTGGAAGCTCTACAGCTTCACGAGCTGGACTTGGATCTCAAGCTACGACTCGGAGATGACACCGAAACGACACCCTCATCCGAGACCACAACTCTTAGCGAACGTCAATCGAGTATCACAAGCCCGCGAAGTAGCATCTGCAGCAGCAATACCTCCACCACAAGCGCTCGTGGATCAACAGCGAAACCCACAAAGCGCGTCCGGTTTGAGGAATCTGTGTCCTGCTCATTCTTCGAGGAAAATTTGGAGCACCTGGCTAGACCTCCACTGCATAAGCGACCATCTTTTGTCCAAAGAAGTTGGGACCGAATCAAAACCCGCAACTCGTCCGTGGAATCCGAAATAGCGTTGGCAAGCATTCCAGCCACCACGCGGAATCCATATACCATCACGCGTCGGAGCTCGTCCTCGGACTTGCTGGAAGCAAGCTCGAATGCGGCAAAACGACCCCTACTTGCGCCAAAGTCGCTCTCCTACACCATTCAGCAACCTTTGCGAGAGTCAGCTGGACGCAAGTACGATGAGGCACAAACGATAGCATATTACAGGACCAAACCAACAACCGCGAAAGGTGATTGGGACGACCTGCTGGGTCCTGCGAAAACGAACACAATGGCTGTATGAGACCGATCACGACAGACGACTTCCGCCCTTGTTTGGTTGGGGCTATTAGCGATGGCGTTGTGGGCTTGAGTAAAATAGATGTATGACTACTGCAGCATGACTGGCAATCCCGGAGAGAAGAGCACGCACATACCCGCTCGACGAGCCTAGAAGCATAGACTAATGTTGATGAAGATGATTGCTGTTTGTTTGGGGCGCGCAAGTAACTGTACCAACAAATCTGCATCTGGCAAGGACAGAATTTCTGCCTTCCTCCCCCTCCCCCTCCCCCTCCCTCCTCTACGTTACATTATTCACCCCGTTTCTCATGCATGCTTGTTGCGCGACTTTCTGCATCACCGTCTTGTACAACGAGCGCAATATTTCGGTAACCAGTGACAAGTGATGCGACCTTGCCAGTCGACCCCGTTCTCCAGGTTCATTATTAATGCATGCGTCAACGTCCTTGCTTCGCGCGTTGCGGATCAATGCATCATGCGAACGTTGCATAATTCTGCACCGGTGCTATGTAGGTTGAACCATACTGTGACAGGTACTACAGAAACGATTCTCCACGTCTGGTGGGTAGGACTCTTTGCTCAACAACTTCGACGATGCCAAGGTGATGATTGGTTGACACTTGGTTGAGACGTGTTCGGGACCACACGATGTGGAGGAGTAATTGTTGATGGCAGATCGCGCCAGGAAGAAGGACCGAGAACATTGAGTGTGCCAAAGATGGGGACCCATCCCGGCGACCTACCGTTCGATGTGTTGAGATATCTTCTCGATGCAGTCCTCAAATTATCTGCAAAGCTACGCTTGCCGCCCATGAAAATTGCTCTACACTCTTGCCTTCACATTCGGGGCCCGCGCTGCCGCGATGTTCTTTCCTGGTGCTGTGGCGAGATTGAGAACACGTCCAGAACTTTGCTGTTTGGTGGTTTCGTAGCACGGGTAAGTGCTGTCGCAACTTATGCTACTTCCGTATGCACTGATTCCATGCCTCCAGAGCTTCAACTTCATACGCATTCCTTTTGTAAGAATTCTTCCTCAATTCAATCTCCGACGCCAAGCTCTCCAATCTCGCCTCGTACTGAGATATGATAATCTTCGCCGTGTCCGATCGAGGCAAGCTGTTGCCAAGTACTTTCTCGGCGAGAAGCAGTCCGTGATAGATGGGCACACTGAGCATGAAGCTCCAGTAGCGTAGATCATGATTTTGGTCGTACCCTGTGCCGTCCTTGATCGTAATGAATGTGTCTGCGTTCTAAAAAGAATGTCAGCATTGCATCAAGGCTGCAAGCTGAGGTTCGCTCACGTATTTCAGGGGATTTGTTTCAAGGATACTCAACAGCCTGTCAGCATAAGTTTTGACCACGCCATTGGTGTCCTCGCCTCCACCATGCTTATAAGCGTACACGGCAGCGAGTTCAAGCAAAGCTCCCAACATCTCTGGTTTCTTCCTGGGGTCACCAGGTCTCATGTATTTGCCACCCTCGCTTTCTAGCAATGACATGATTTCCTGAAAGCGTTCGAGCGCAACGGCGACATGATTCTTCTCCCAATTGCTCCTCAAGGCAGTCCGCCTCACTCCCACTATCAGTGCTCGCAACAGCCGCCGATCCATTACTGACATGCCAGTAGCCGCATTCGGTTGGAGACAGCGAAATATGACTGGGAGTTTGTGCTGATTGACAGCTTTGCGTACAATGCGCTCGAGATCCGTGCTTTTCAATGGCGTGGTACCTTTACCGCGGCGCCTTGGTTCAGCCATTGCTCGCAGCAACCTCGGAAGATTCTCCCATGAGTTGCCCTCAGAGTCGACAATGAGTCTCAATGCTTCTCTGCAAAGAGATACTGCAGAAGGTCGTTCAGCAACGTCGATCCATTCCAGCTCGATTTCTTCTTCGCCGATTTGGGCAGTCTGGGGATTCTCTTCTAGATACTGCTTGTTATTCGGCGACTGAATGAGCTTGCGCTCTGGCTTGCTTAAATATTTCGGGATGAAGTGTTTTGTTCGGAGCGTTGCAAGTACGTTGTTGAGCTCTTCATTGGAGGTCTCTATGAAGGACGGGAGCTGTTTTGAGCGGAAGGTGGATTGGGTGAAGGCTCTTCGAGATGCATTTTGAGTAGCATTGGATGCGCGTTGCAGGCCAAGAGCGCCACGAATGCATGTTGAGGCCATATCGTGAGAGTAGGGATGGTTGGAAGTTCACGGTTGTCTCTCGGGGGTGCCGGCCAGCTCCGCAACTTTCACTTCGCTCCTGCCGAGACGTAACACAACCAACCTAACCTTGATACTCACACACTCACATTCATGGCTACATGTACATCAATACAGCCTGCGCGGCCTCTAGCTGGCCTCAAACAAGCGCTACGACAATGCAGAGCGGATCGTCAGCGATATCGAGCATACGCGACTGCCCCAATCGCAGAATCGACACGCCAACCACTGTATCCTTCTCTAACGCCCAAAGGCAGCAGCTATGGATACAATGAGCCTGCGAAAGGCTTCAGACCATCACAGGCCACGAAGCAAAACCGTGAGTCTTACTTGTCAAGACCAGACATGACATGCTAAGTGATCCTCTAGGCTTCGATAATGGCCTTCGCAAAATCCCAACTGTCCCTCCACCACGATCTACCCTGAAGGCCTGCAAGGACCCCGTGAAGGTCATATACAATGACCAACTAAAAGAGCTTGATCCGACCGGTGCGCGGACTCGACTGTTCTCGAAACAGAACGCCGAACGCGTACAGCCCGGCGATATATTACTTGTCCGCACCAAAGATGGCGACGACTTTTCTGGAGTGTGTTTGGTCGTCAGACAAAGAAACAGCCCCATAGATACAGCAATACTGTTACGCAATCACCTGACCAAGATAGGTGTGGAGATGTGGTTTAAGGTGTACAGTCCGAATGTCGAGGGAATTGAGATTGTGCAGAGGAAGGAGAAGAGGGCGAGGAGGGCGAAGTTGTACTACATGCGACAGCCTCGACATGACATGGGAAGTGTTGAGAATATCGTGAGAGCATATCAGAGGGCAAAAGGCGGAGGCAACCTGAAGAGCACAGGTGCCAAGGGCAGAGACGCGAGCAGTCACGCCAAGAACATGAAGAGCAAAAAGAGCAAGAAATAGATGACAGCGTTTGTCTGCAGAAGTGGATCTCCGCGTTCTGACGAACGTGTATGACAAGAGTAGTCTCAGTCTTAGCAAAACTGCTAAAATCTGAGAATCCTCCAGCAGTGTCGCCTCGAGCCCTTCCTACTTTACCGCAGATGATCGGTGCGCCTTGACACACTTGCGCCCTTGCGCTCTGAGGCTAAGGATTAGCCTTGCATATAAGCGATGTTCGCTACGTTGCTGCTGCAGTGCTTATGAGGTGCACGTTATACCTCACTGCTCAGAATGCTTCATAATAGATCGCTGGCCTGTACCAGACGCGGTCAGACTTGCCTTGAGCTGTGTTGACGAGAAAGGTGTTTGGTTGGAAGTAGATGGACGCGATCCGTTCGGCAGGTCTACCTCGACACGGCGTGAGCGCAGGTCACGAGAGGCTCGAAATAAGGTAGCAGCACAAAAGTTATGTAATATCGGCCAATCGTGCAAGGCACCATGAGTTCAGTTTTACACGTTCAAGCACGAAAAGCCATGATGGCTGCATCACCCTGGAGACTCTGATGAAAAGTTCTGTACCGCCGTAGCATCGGGCTTGTGAGCAATCTTGTGCAGCAACACCTCCTCTAGATATACGGAGTAACTGCTCCCATACCATGCCAAATCAATCTTCGCCAGAGCAAACCAGAAGAGCAAATCGTAGACAGGAGTGCAGACCAAAGGTATTGCGCTTATCGATGGTAGGAAAGACGTGGAGCTTCACGTACTTCCACTGTCGACATACGGCGCTTCACCAGCACATGGGTTGGAAGGACTGGCAAACATAAATCGTGAAGTACTGCTTGTCGGCAATCGTACAGTGCTGCAGAACGCTGAGTCATAGCAGGGCCAGCAACGATCTAGTGTAGTCGCTCAAGCACGGAAATTGAATCTGCTTGATTTTGTACCGGTGACAAACGCGACATGGACTGGGTACTGCGAAGTCCTTCCTACTATCAATTCATTTTGTTCCAATAGAGTTCGTGTCATCATCAATCATTACTTTCACTCATCGTCTCTGCTGGGCATGCTGCTGATTATGCTGCTGAGTATGCTGCTGCTGCTGTTCTTGCTCGCTCGGCATCGCATATGCTGTGGCCGCACCCGGTCCAGAGGGATACTGCGGAATTCCGCCTTGCTGTCTCATAGTGCAGCCAAGATCGCCATGTATCTGCGTGCCATGATAGACGCATTGAAACACGCAAGGTCTACTGCAGTCATAATACTGTCTTCCACCAAATTGTGTGGCTTGTCGTTCTCGTTGCTGGGCTTGATCCAAGTGATGTCTCAAATAGTTGACCTCATCACGCAATTTCTGAACTTCTGTCAAAAAGGGGTGGTCGAATTGGATGAATCGTGGCTGGACATCGACCTGGATAGCGTGCTGGACCGGCGGAGCTTGATGCTGTTGGGTACGAGGAGCCTCTTGTCCGGGTGATGGTAGCGGCAGGATGGGTCTGCCAATGGATCCTGGGTGGTGCTGCTGCTCCGTACTAGAAGGCCCGTGATGATATCCGTTAGGCGCTGGAACACGCGCGACCGATTCTGTCAGATGCGGCGGGTCTTCCATCGCGGCCGATTTTGGCCGCTTCTCTGGTGGAGGCCTTCCGAAGTCGCGCACAACCTCAATCGTTGGAGGAGGTTCCTGCGGCGCCTTTCGCTTGTGTACATATCCATTGGCCTTATGTTCAGCTAGATTCGCGCCGCTAGATGTCGGACGTTCCTTGATGACAGAACGCACACTGACGGAGTCCTGCCATGGCCTCATCCCAATTGGAACCACGGGTTCACTGTTACGACGAGGTCGTGACTCTGGAAGTGAATGTGCTTCCAGTCCACCATCAACAGTCGCGCGCAATCCTGGATCTTCCCGTGCACGAGATGTGACTGGACGACCAGATTGATCACGAAAGCCAAAATGGTGAGGTTCGGCGGGCGCCGATCTGACATAAGTTGCAGTGGTAGGAGTGCCTCGTGATTTCAATGCTTGAGCAGGCGACGCAGGCGTGCTATGACTGCGCCGAATTGACGATCGTGTTGAGAGTGTGGCAGGCGAGCTCATACATGCTAGGGGCTCAGTGCGCTTCTCGAGATCCTCCACTTTGTCAAGAAGCATACCGACCATAGCACCAAGAGGGTCTTGCGTGCCTGCGCTGCTTTTCGGATGCTCCCCATCAGCGGCGTCGGGCATATCGGTGTCTTCTTGCTGCGCCGAGGTTTGGCCATTCAGTTTGCGCAGAATAGTCGCTTCATCAACGCCTTTGCTCTTGCAGTAGGCGCAGATAAAGACGAAATCATCTTGTTGAACCTTGTCGGCTGGTATGTCGAGACATTTGGCGTGTTGCCAGGTATCGCAACCTTCGCAAGCAATGCTAGGATGTCCATCGTCGATATTGTCTCCACGCAGACCACAGCGACAATCAAAGTACCAGCTGACGCCACCATCCGCAAGTTCCTCCAAGTGACTTCTGCGCTTCTCAATCTCGTCACGAGATGAAGGCTCTGGGGCCTGTCTATTACGCAGAGCATACGCGGCAGCTTCTTGCTGTCTTCCTTCCGCATCTGGTCTGAATAGAGCTTTCTCGCGCATAGTTCGGTCAGCCTTACGCTCCTGTGCGAGTTGCTGTGGTGTGTACTGCTGTGTATCGCCCATGGGCAGACCAGAGAATGACGGAAATCGAGAAGGCGACTCTATACCCGTATTGGCTGGTGGTGCAAGCCTATTAATCGGTGCAAAGCTTTGGCCGCCATTCTCGATAGGCGTCTCAGGCAGCCTCGGTATATTAGGAGCGATAGGCAGGTGCTGTCGAGGCTGAGATTCCTGCGCAGCGGGAGAGCGAGGCAGCGACGACGAGCCTCCATCCGCCAGAACAAGTGTTGGGCCATTTTGCTCCAACACATTCTCTCGCACAAACCAAACCTCGGCGCTCTCATCACGATTCCACTGCTCCGGATGAAGCTCAATGTTCTCCTTCCTCGCGCGCTCCATGTGGCGACCGACATGCTCCATCCTATCTTCCCAGCTGCCGTGGCCATGAAAGTGCTGCTCACAGAACAGACAACGACTGGTTTCGGGAGGCGAGCGAAGATGGCGATAACATCTGTTGGCTTCATTCTGCAAGAAGGCCTCATCCAGATCACCAGCCTTGGCAGGCTTTTCCTTGCCATTGGCGGGGCTGGGCTGTGCAGCTTGGTGCATGCGGCGCACATGTTGAATGAACAAATCTTTTCGGTTGAAGTCATTCGGTTTTCTGTCGGGATTGTCTTTGGAGCATCGGTCGCAGCGCCAGAAGCCGAGTCTCATGTGCTGGGTGTAGACGTGGCGTTTCCATTCGTTCTTGGAACCAAAAGTCGAGTTGCAGCCATAGACAGCCAGTGGGCACGGGAAACCTCGCTTGCCAGCTGCAAGATCCGCAAAGCCCTGGTCATGGAGGTGGTCTGGTTTCAGGGGCGATTTGAGGGAAGAGCGCCTGCTGGTGGTTGATGCGCGCCTCGCACTCGCGCGGCCCGCCAATATCATGTTCGCAGGTGTGCGATGCCGTCGGATGACCGGCTTTTCGAACGTCGCCGCTGCATCTTGGTCTTGCGCCATGCTCCAAGCGCCTGTGTTGGGGGATAATGGGTTGCGTGTGCGTGTTTCTGCCGCGGCTGACAGAGTCTGCGGAAGCACTCCAAACGCAGGGCGCCGGCGCGGCTACGGCGCGCAAATGCCGGCTCAGAAAGCGTTCTTCATCAATAGCAGCTGGCGCGTCATCTGACCAATGCTTATGGCGGGGGCGACGACGGTTCTCAGCGCGAGCAATGGTGAAGTGCGGTGGAAGAAACATGTGCATCAGGCTACAGAGGTTGGGAAGGCGCGGCCGGGCTGAAGCACAGACGATCCAGGGTTCGAGGCGCTAATGCTGGCTGCTGGCTGCGGCTGCTCGTCCGTGAGGGGTTCTCGCGCTTTCGGCGCGGTGGCGTCCTACATTATTTCTATATTCGAGCGTCGTCTGCTGGGCCAGTTGGCAGGAGCATCGCGAGGTCTGGGAGGGACGTCTGGGAAGGTGGTCCTCGCGCTGCTTCCGCGAAGCATACGCTATCGGCAACCATGGGCCCGCACGAGGGCCATTACCTGATGCAGACGCGACACAGGCTGTCGATGCGAGCAAGGCTATGTACACAATCCACTCTGCCCATTTCTACCCTGTGGACACTAGCGGCGGCGCATCCCGGTCTCCTCCAATCACGCTCTGCATGTATCCTCGGACTGCACGACTGACTGCGGTGGGCATACGTGTTCATCATCCATAATCACGGCTGATCATGGAGCACTTGCCCGCATATGATTAAAACAGCTGCTGCATCTATGCATCTATGCATCTATGGGCGAGCAAGCGTGGCGCCGGCGGTGTTGTTGTTGGTGGCAATGCCCGCCAGTAGCACGGTCCAGTATTCCCATGGCTGCGCAGCGCCATCTGACCCTCGCAGCCGGCACAATAATTTGAAGTCGACCGAAGACGTATCCGTATCCCACCTGCAATGCTGTCAATCAAGCGAATCATGTGAGGCTACTGCGCAATTTACAACCCGTATATTTGCTTCTCCCATGCATTACGCCCGGCGGTGCGGTGCTTCCGAGGCTGTGGTGGCAGCACTCGACAACCACAAGATTGCCGACACGCGGTATTTAAGAAGTCCGCCATGAGGCATACCCACTCACCGACTTCTTGTGGGAGTCGCAGCCTGCCTTGTGATGCGGTGCAAGGCTGAGAAGTCTTTGCAAATGAACTCGTGAATCTAGTCTTTCTCCAGCTGGCCGATCCCGGCGCAACTTCGCAGCAAGAGATGCCGAACGCACGCTCCTGCTGCATGACCGACCACATACTGTATATCTAACCTAACCCGTGTAATTGTGCCACAGCATTCGCAACAACAACCACACCAACGTCAGCCGTACCGCGCATCTCCAGCGCACACCTGCCACCTCTCGCGCACAGCCATGAACTCCGTCGCAGCAAAACGGCTCTTCCAAGAGTACAAAGCACTCAGCCTCGACCCGCCAGATGGTATTACTGCTGGCCCTGTCAACGAAGAAGACTTGTTCGTATGGGAAGCTCTCATACAAGGCCCAGAAGGCACGCCTTTCGAGGGCGGTGTCTTCCCAGCCGAGCTGAAGTTTCCGCGCGATTACCCACTCATGCCGCCGACCATGAAGTTCCTATGCGATATGTGGCATCCAAATGGTATAACATGACCGCACCAGAAACTGCGCGCAATTTGCTGACCCGAATGCGCCACAGTCTATCCTAATGGCGTCGTGTGCATATCCATCCTCCACCCCCCTGGTGACGATCCAAACCACTACGAACAAGCGTCCGAGCGATGGTCACCCATACAGAGTGTCGAGAAGATTTTGATCTCAGTCATGAGCATGATCGCCGAGCCAAATGATGAGAGTCCGGCCAATGTGGATGCTGCGAGGCAGTGGCGCGAGAGGAGGAAAGAGTACGAGGCGCGCGTCAAGGCGGATGTGAGAAGAAGTCTGGGGCTGTGAACGGGGAATAAGATGCTTAGGATTGCGCAGCGAGCGCGGCGTATGGATATGAGAGATGATATTACGTGGTATGACACAGGAGCATAGCATTGGGTATTGGCATCGGAGGAATTACCTGCACATGTGCACAACAGAGAGCGCAAGGGGAGCATAGCAGCTCTGATACAAGCTGTGAAAGCCGATCGAAGATGGTCGCGAGACACAAGAAGAGCTCGCTATTGCCCGTCAGTGGCTTGTGCCTGCTCGCTGCTGTACATGAGCTCTTTGAGATATCAATGCCAAGGTAAGAATATCGGTCCCGCTACGAATCGGAGGTGGATCTTCCAGAAGCACTGCGAGCCAGATCACCTCCAGGTGGGCGAACGGGGCGACTTTTCATCATGCTGCCCGAACATTTTGTAGCAGCACAGCAGCCGCAGGTGTATTGGTTACGTCTAGAACAAGGAAGCGTATGCCTTTGCAGAACTTGGTAGCTAATCTAGCCACCGCCCAGACTCTCGGGCCGCCAGTCGGAGGCCTCAATGAGGACGCACTCTTCGGTGTCGACATCATCAGCCTCGGCCTCGTTGGTCTCACGCTTGCGCTTCTCGCTTGGTGCGCTGCAGTAATCTCCCTTGTCATCTGCCTTAATAATTGAAATTTCCTCACTAAAGAGAATCTGGTGACCAGCCAGGAGTCGGCAGTACGACACCATACTAGCTAGGCGCCTGTATTAACGAACCAGAGTTATCAGTATCTGACCGAAACCTCCTTGAGTACGACTTGGCTGCAGAACTACAAGGATGCCACCCACGAGTCTCGAGTAGAGATAGACGAGTTGAACTTTCGTGTCGCGAGCAGTACTGGGTCGCTAAGATACTTTGTAGGGATCATGTGAGGCTGGTCTGAATCAGAGATGCTCTCTCTTACAGGAGGCACACTGTATTGGCTCTTTCACGCTCGTAATTGCATCTCCCGCCCATATTCACTCGCAAACGCCTCGTTTTGATTCTTCGGGCCAGCCTTTACCATGAATATGTACCTGTAGTAGATGGTCAGCCGAGTCGGTGAAAAGAGATTCGTGGATATCTCTCTCACAGCACTTTCGATCGACTGCTCTGAGGAGACGTCAAGTTGGAGGACTGTGACGTTGGGCGCATCTTGCTTGGGTTCTGCGCAGATGCTAGAACGTGGTAGCCGAGTCGCTGGTATTCGTATGCGATTGCTGACCCAATTCTGCCTGTTGAGCAGCCTGTGATAAGAACAGATCTCCTGCAGGTAGTCATTTTGCCAAAGGCTGGAGAAAACAGTGACCTGGAAGAGCTGTGCTCATGAAGAAAACATGCTAGAGAGCAGGTGAATGGTGTCCTTATGGGCTCTTTCTCCACGGGACGGGACTTTCGGGGCGCGAGAAGAAGGCATTGATGGAACTTAGCTCATACGTGTGCTGCATACGTGCTCGATACAGTATATCGGCGTCAACATCGATCATGGAGTGATTGTCGTCGAGCAGCTGGGCCTTTGGAGTCGGAACCAAACAACGTCACTGCCAAGCCACCATCCTTCTAGGATTGGCGTTTCCTTAACCCATTCCACATCTTCTCTCCTATGAACAGGAACGGATGTGATGCAAACAGGACAAGCGAAGAGCGAGTGAATGGCCTAGTTATCACACCTAATAACCTTATAACATGTTAAAAGCAGCTAGCTCCTAGCACGTCTCCCTTAGATTATTAATAATAAAGTATTTTTCGGTCGCCTATTTCGGCCGCCTAGAAAGCGTATTATAAGCTAATAATATTAATAGTTATACCTCCTTTATAGTAGAAAGTCTATCTTTAGATCTATTCTAAGGGTATAGCCTATTATAGTAGGTTTTACTAAGGCTCTAGGAAGGTTTAGTTATAGTACTTAACTATAGTCTACTAGACTAGTTATAATAGGCCTATATATTAGCGTTGTTTTATTATTAAATTAGCCGTAGTATTAGGTAGTAAGAGCGCCTATACCCTATCGTAGCTTCCCTATATATATAGTATAGATATCCCTACCGCCTAGCTACTATCTTATTTCTAAAATATAATAACTTAATAAAAGATAGGGCCCCTTTAGGCTTAGTATAGCTTAAAACGAGCTAGAAGCCGACTCTAGTTAGTCGCTACCGAGGAACTTTAAAATTTCTTAGTTTACGAGTAGTTCGAAAGGCGTAGGTATTATAGTATATATCGTAACGCTTCGCCGCTATAATAGTAGTATTTCTAATACTATCTCCGTCGTCTACGTCTAATCTAGTAGTATTTACTTAAAGTAGTATACTCGATTACGCTAGTAGTACGGCTAGAAGCGTAATTTAGTATATATAACTAGTACTAAGGCCTTACTATCGCAAGCTCCGCTATTAATATCGAATATAGTACTCTCTTAACGTACGATATCGATAACCCCTTAATTCGAAAGCCGCCTACTACTTATAGGTCTATATAACTATAGTTACTACTTAAAGGAGATCTACGACGGTAGTATAGAACCGAGATAGGCTAGTATAGAACCGAGATAGGCTAAGACTATATATAGTAAGGACGGTATAGGTACGCGATAGTAGATATATAATCGGTACTATACTAGGTAAGCGAAGCGGACCTATAACTAGCTACTATAGTAGTCGACTAGATAGGCTATCTAGGAGCGAATAGGTAGGAGCTTCTAATTTAATAAAGTTATTTTTAATCGTACTATAAGAAGGGTTATATTAGTAGGTAGATAGGGTAGTAGTAGGTTAGTATAGTATTTAATAGAGATCTAGGAGGAGAAGGAGGAAGGCAGGCTAGTTAGCCTAGTACTAAGCGCTAAGCCCTGCCTAAGGTACTAAGACCCTAGCTTTACTCGAGCTAGTTATATACTAATTACGTATAGCCTCTAATATACGCTTCCCTTCTAAAGGCCGCGCCCTCGTAGCCTATCTATATTCTAATCTTAACCTCTATTACTACTGGCTTAGCATATTGACTAAGCTGTTTTGTTAGAGGTTATAACGTAATTAGCTATATAACTAGGCCGAGTAAAGCCAGGGTCATGAGGCCAGAGCCAGGGATACGCACTTAGCGCTAGGCTCACCACCACCCATTCCTCCCTCTCCTCTTAGATCTCTATCGAATACTACTTATATTACTTGAAGTGTGTTCGATAGTTAATTTAGTGTCTACGGAAGAAGCGAGAAGTCGCTAAATAGGGTGCCGCGTGTATGTACGGACCTAGGCACATGCCTTAGGATTCAACTCACCCCCTCGTATATATGCAAGGCACGTTAGTAAATACAAAGTCGCTTAAATCAAACAAGGTAGTCATTCAATTAGTTAGCAACCTAGGCATCTTGCCCTTCCAATGGTTGTTTAATTAGTTAGCAACCCAGGCATCTTGCCCTTTATTAGTTATTCAGTCAATTAGCAACCTAGGCATTATGCCCTTTATTAGTTGTTTAGTTTAGTTAATCAGCAACCTAGGCATTATGCCCTTTATTAGTTGTTTAGTCAATTAGCAACCTAGGCATTATGCCCTTTATTGGTTGTTTAGTTTAGTCAATCAGCCGCCGCACCCCCTGCTTCTAGTAGGTTAGTGTTAATTGCGGTTAAGTTAGTAGCCACGACACCCCCTGCTTCTTGCAGGTAGGTGCTTAAAGCAGCCGTTCAGTCGTTTAGGTTCAGTCGGTCAGGTTCAGTCGGTTTAGAAGGCCCAGTTCTTGCTAGTTGCTGGCTCTAAACCAGGTCGAGGGTCATTCTCTAGTACAGCAATAGCTAAATTGGCGGCTTGTTGGTTGAGATTCTTGTACTAGTTAGGCGCCAGTTTAGGGTTCTTCTTAAAGCAGGTTGGACTATGCTTCTTCTTGCAGTAGTTGCAGTACTGCTTGTCGGTGTTCTTGTTGTCGGTGTTCTTGTTTAGTTTGCGAATGCCGCCAGTCGCGACAGTCGCAGTGGTCGAGTCGGAAACGGCTATCTTGGCTGTTCAATTGTCGGTCTTGGTCGGGTCTTGTTCGCACCCCCTGCTTTGCGCAGGAGGGTGTTCAGTCTTAATTAGGTCTGCGCGGTAGCAGGCGAGGGGCTCATAACCACTTGAAGTGTGTTCGATGGTTGATTTAGTGTCTACGGAAGAAGCGAGAAGTCGCTAAATAGGGTGCCGCGTGTGTGCACGGACCTAGGCACATGCCTTAGGATTCAACTATATCTACTACTACCCTATCTACCTACTAATATAACCCTTCTTATATAGTATTCGATCTACCCTTTAAGGGTAGTAGCTAGATAGTCCTTATTTTAAGCTTTTAGCGGTATAGCTACGAAAACTATCGAGTTAACTATATTGCGCCCGAAGAACGGGACCTATACGTACTACTCTACTAAAACAACCGTACCAATTATTAAGCAAGGCCTTCTATACGGCCTATTATACTAAGTTAATTATACTAGGCCGATACCTACTAATTCCGCTATATCCGCACTATAAGGGGCTATAATATATTATTAGTACTACCCCTTATTATAATAGCCGGCTTATTACGAAACAACAACAATACTAACCGCGGCGCCGCTAGCAGCGCTAGCAATAATAACAATCGTAGTATAGTGCCTGCCGAAGAGCCTACTAGAGGGCCTGCTAAAGAACCTATAGTTCTAGGTAACGATCTAGAATTGCCTATTAACGACATTCTTAATAACATTGTTAATCGACGATATAGCTACCTAGCCTTTAGCCTCTAGCCGATAGCGAGACTTTAAGAAGCTACTTAGAATAGGGTTACTACCTTACGTTAAGAATAATAGCTAAAGGATAACCTCCTCGAAATTTACCGCCTATAGGCAGCCCTAGCAACTAATACTAAACCTGCGGCAGAACCTTCCTTACTAACTATTTAAAAGAAGGATGCTAAACTTAAGGACTGTACCGTATTTAATAGCTCTAGTCGAAAGCAATATAATAATTATATTCGTAACTATAAGCTTAACTAGCGAAACGCACTAAGGGCTCTTCTAGACGACTATTCGTTAGTCGTTTATGCTATCTAATACATTAACGGAAACCTAAAGCGTACCTAGGATAACTATTTTAACTCCCTTAATAACTAGACCGCTATTTAGTAGCAAACCTATAAAACTATTATACTAGACACCCTTAGAAACCCTATACTAAGGCAATAACACGCTTAGGACTAGTACCTTCGAGCTAAATAAAAGACTAATTAATCGGCTCGCTTATTTAAGGCCTATTTAAAGACCCTCGAAGACGACCTTCTAGCTAAGACTAATACTATATAGATCTCGGAAATACGCCTAAAGCTTAGATAGGAGCTTATCCTCGAATTAGACCGCCGCCGTATGTTTAAATAGGCTAACCTAATACGTATTCAATTTATAGTCGAGGTAGAAATAGCTAAACGAGCTATATAGCTCTAGTAACGACTAGAATCGAGGATCCGACTAGCTAGTACTAACCGTAGTAACCGTAGCCGCGGAGGAAACTAAGGGTCCTACTAGAACAATAACGCTAATAATAGAAACAGTAACAACGACCGTAGAAGAGGCCGTAGCTAGCAACTATATAGAGGAGGCCGTAATAGGGGCCGTAGAAGGGGCTCGTATCCTTATAACGCTAACCGCTCGACTAACAATAATAGCTACGGCAATATTCTAACCGGATTGAAGTGCTTTAACTACGATAGCACTAGCTATCTCCTAGGCTAATATAACAAACCTAAGGACTAGGCCCGTATTAACCGTACTTCCGCTAAATATAGAAGGCACCTTTTAGTAGCTAACGCTACTCCTATAGGCTAACCTTCTAATTAGTCGAAAAAAGAATAAGCGCCGCACTAACTATTAGCCTTATACGGCGTAAAACTATCGACATTATACTAGCTATTATACGCACCTACCTCGTATAAGACACCTAGGGCACTAATTACGAAACTAAGGTTACGCTAGACCTAGGAAATTTAGTTAGTGCCCTTATTAGCTATCGCCTAGCTAAGTAATTAGACCTTCGACAATTAAATAGGGCTAACCTACTAACCCTTGCTTAGTTTAATAACGCTCGGCACTTAACCTATAGAGCCTACTATATTCCTATAGTTCTAAAGAACGACCTCGGTAATAAGCGTTTATTAGACTTTACTGCCTATACGGTAGATATAGACAGCCTTCTATCCGATATTGTTATCGGCAACCCTATCCTTAAGTACTACGCTATAGCTATAGACTTAGGCCTCTAATAGTAGCGGTTTAGAATCGCTAGGAAGGAGGACATTAAGTATATCGACGTTAGCGAGTGCCCTAACGATATTAGAGTCTTATTTATTAGCAACCTAACCTTAGCTAACCCGACTGCTAACCTACTTAGTAGTAATAACGATGAACCTATGCTACCTAATAGCATAGACCCTAATTAGCTTGCTCGTATACTATAGCCTATTCGAGAAACCTATATTAATGTATTTAAATACTACCTAGTATCGACGCTGCCTATATTTAAAGAGACGGACTATAAGATCGATATTATATAAGGCAAGGAGGTTCCTTTTAGGCCCCTCTATAACCTTAGTAAACGAGAGCTTACTATATTGCGTAAGTACCTAGATAAGAACCTAGCTAATAGTCGAATTTAGTATAGCAACAGCCCTACTAGTATACCTATCCTATTCGTACTAAAGAAGGATAGTAGCCTACGTCTATATATTAATTACCGTAGGCTTAACGCTGTTACTATCAAGGACCGCTATCTACTTCCGCTTATTAATAAGACCCTCGATCGCCTTTCTAGCGCCTGCTTTTATACTATACTAGACATTAAGGATGCCTACTACCGTATCTGTATTCGTAAGGGCGACGAATAGAAAATAGCCTTCTATACTCGTTATAGCTATTTTAAGTACTTAGTTATGCTATTTAGCCTAGCTAATGCCTCTACTATATTCTAGTCCTATATTAATCGAGCCCTATCGGGCCTACTAGACTACCTCTATATAGTTTACCTAGATAATATCCTGGTTTATACCTATTTACCTAACATTGTAGAGTACTAGGCTATAGTACGTAAGGTACTCGATCGCCTAAGGACCTATAGACTGTATTACAAACCTTCTAAATGCACCTTTACTGCTAAGGAGGTAGCCTTCCCTAGCTTCCTCGTATTAACTAAGGGTGTTAAGGCTAACCCTAACCGTATTTAGACTATTACTAAATAGCCTATTCCTACGTTAATTAAGGAGCTTTAGTTATTCCTTAGCTTCGCTAATTTCTATCGCCGCTTTATTAAAGGCTATTTACGGCATATAATGCCCCTAACTAAGCTTACTAAAACCAAGGCTAACCTAACTAGAGAGTTTAAATAGACTAATAGAGCGTAAGCCGCTTTTAACGGTTTAAAGAAGCGATTTACTAAAGTCCCCTTATTATACTACTTCGTACTAAGCAAACTAATCTGTATTAAGACTAACGCTTTACAGTTTGCTATATTAGCTATTATGTTATAACAATCGGATAAGGACTATTATTAGTACCTAATTGCCTTCTTCTCGAGGAAGATAATTAATACTAAGCGTCGCTACGAGACCTACGAGCAAGAGTTGCTAGCTATTATTAAGGCCTTTAAGTATTAGAGGCACTACCTCGATAGGGCTTAACATACAATCTAGGTCTATACAGACTATAACAACCTCCGTAGAATTACGAAGGTTACTAGGGTTATAGGTCGACAGGCTAGATAGGCCGTCTACCTCGCTAGGTTCGATTTTAATATATTATATCGGCTAGGCGTAAGCAACCCTACTAATAGCCTATCGAGGCGACCTATTTACAATAGCGAGACCTAATATATTAATTCTTTGTTTCTAACCCTGCAGTATAAGATTGCTATAGCCTGTATTATTAATAAGTAAGCGTAGGATAAGCGGACCTCCGGACCCCGCGGCGGCAACGAATACTATAGCGGAGTTATCGTTCTTCTAGTATATATTAAAAGAAAGGACGTAGATCGCTCGAGCTATAATAACTCGATTAAAGACATTGCTATTTATAGTAATAGCCTATATAGCGATAGTACTATAGAAGAGGTTGCAGTAGTTCCGGCTACTAGTGCTATTAGATACGTATAATACGTACCTCGTTTAATAGCGAGGGTACTATTAAATAACCTTACAAATAGGGATAGTCGATCGTTTATAGATAAGCTATTACATACTTAGCAGAGGGACGCCTTTGCTACTAAACGTATTAATAGGCTTGTAAGTAGATAAAAGACTCGATCTAGTAAGAGTAATAACAATTAGTCGATCGACGATAAGGGTTACTTAAAGTTTAAGGGCAGATACTATATCCCCGCTAAGCAATCGATTAGATAAGAGCTTTTAAAGAGGCACTATAATAGTAAGCTCGCTAGTTACTATAGTATAGAGAGGTCGTACGAGTTACTATCGCGAATATACTACTAGCTAAATAGTAAGCGGTATATAAAGGAATATATACAGACCTATATAGTATGCTAGCGAGTTAAGGCACCTAAGCACTTACTATTCGGCGAGTTATCTTTACTTCCTATTCTAAAGAAACCGTTTGTAGAGCTTATAATAGACTTTATTATAGGCCTTCCTCCTACTAAGCGTAGGGGTAGTAAGGACGTATACGATACTATCCTTGTTATAGTAGATCGGTTTACTAAAAGCGCTCGTTATATCCCTACTCGGAAGGATTAGACTGCTATTAATATAGCTAAAGCCCTATAGGACAATATCTTCTATAGCTATTAGGGAACCCCTAAGGGGATAGTCTCTAACCGGGGCTCGATATTTATATCTTACTATTAGAGTAAGATATACCTATAGCTAAGACTTAAGCATCGCTTGTCTATAGCATTCTATCTACAAATAGATAGCTAGACCGAGAGGCAGAATGCTACTCTATAGTAGTACCTACGTAGCTATATTAACGAGAACCCTAACGACTAGGTTAACCTCCTACAACTAGCTAAATTCGTATATAATAACAGTGTCTACTTATTAACTAAGGTGTTACTATATATAGCTATAATAGGCTAGAACGCTGCTATGCTATAAGACCCCCTATCGCTCGAGGCCGAGCGTAAGGAAAGGGAAGCGCGTTAAGCCCCTAAAACACTAGCGGCTATTAATAGGGTTTAAAAGATGCGAGAAATTTACGCTAAG